GTTAAAATAGTTAATGATTTGATTTTTTAAACAAACAATCATTTAAATAATCAACACCATTTATCAATGAAATGAATATGAAGTGACATGCCATTTAAATACATAATACTCCACTTTTGTAAATTGCACGTTTATTTCATTAGCTCGCACTCTCTGAATATTATATTGCACTTCAAACATGCACGTGCGCACTTCCATACATTTTAATCAAAACGATTTAAAATAAACTAAAGTAAATACACAAGGGTGTGGATTAACAACTATCACTTGTAATTTAAATATATAGAAAACACCATTTTTATATCATGCTTTCTAAACCTCTAAACTAACACCTTTTTATAAAATGAAATGCACTTTAATATTGTTCATTATTATATACCCAAAAGTGCACTATTATATAACAAACGTATACGAAGTAAAATTTAACATATGCACTTTTCACAAAAATGAAATGCACGTTCTTTCAAATGCATCACAATGTTCGTTATCATGTGTCTTCTTACTACACTTCACATACGCCTTTTAAGACCTTGTTGTTGGGACAATCTATATCATCCATGCCGCTTGCATGATTCGTCTTGATACATCCATTTATTGCTAAATCCATTGCAATGCAATCAAAATCATGATAAAGTGCACCATATGTAGTTGTGAAAGTGCATAAAAAATTATAGAACATAATAGTGCACTAGAAGTGCATTAATAATCCATGTGTCAGTGAGTGCACTTGTTGTGATTTAGATAGGAATATCATAGCACACATAAAATAATAAATATTATTAAAATGAAAGAAAATATTTGAAAAAATCGAGAGTAAGCATTTCAATTTTAGTGCAAGTAAGCAAAATGGTTAACAATATAAACACATATCTAAAAAATGTTGTAATGCAAAATGTGTATTACATAAAATAGTTTAGTGCATCGTAATTAACAACACACTCTATGCAAAGTAATAAGTGAAAAATAATTTCAGAAAAATCAATAAAAACAAATAACTGTTCAGGAACAAAAAAAAAATATGGCCATATATATAACCCACTAAAATCTCAAAAATGGAAAAGTGAAACCCATAACAATATAGAATAGAATATGCGTACGTATGGAGCTACGTTGAAATGACTGGAAGAATTATGAAAATATATTGAATTTGTGCTAATTGAAATTCATATCCAGAAGATTCCTTGAGTGGATAACTATTAAGGTACGGTGGATTTTCACACTTAAGATTTTGATAAGGAAAGAATTTGGCAAAATAATTAAGGAAGGAAACGGTAGTCAGAATGAAAAAGTCGTAAATACCCTAGAGGAGCATTAATCGTATGAGTGAATTGGAGTGAGATCTAATGGTTGATATCTATTCTTTTTCCTCTCCTAAGATTAAGTTCTCACATGAACCTAAATCTCCTGTGAGAACACCCTCTTAGGAGAGTAAAAAAGATTAAAATCGAACCTTCAATCATCTCAATCCAATGGTCTAGAAATATTCGAAAAAGAAGGAAATGATGCATTAATTGCGGATGATTCAACTCGTATATAAGGAAACGTACATTTTTACATTTGCAAAAGGGCACAATGGTAAAGTGATTTAGGTGATTATCATGCACGGCCCAACATTTTAGGAAGGCATCCTATTTTTTAGGCTATTCATTAATAAGAATACGTAACTCCTAATTTCTCTAATCATATTATTTAATTTTCTTTCAATGTTAAATTTTCTTTCAAATCATTCGGATATTTTATTTGGAAAAATCTATATGCAATCCAGAATTATTTTTCGTGATTAACCTTTTTCTATCGAGACACAATACTCATCAATATATAGAATCAATATAGGTTCGTCAATTTGCACCTATTCGTTGAATACATGCACTTTTTACTCAAAACTGAATGCAACATTTATTTAATTAAATATTTGATTTTTTTGCATATATATTTATTTAAATAATCAATACCACTCATGAATGGATAGTAACATTCTGAAGATAAATTAATTTTATATTATAATAATTTGCACTTTTGCAAATTGCACATTTATGTCATTAGTCGGCACTTTCTATAATATTATCCTACACTTTACACATGTTATTGTACACTTTTATACATTATTTTTATCAAGTGATTTTAAATAAAAGGAAAATAAAGATACAAACGGCGTGAACTAATTCATTCATGTGCACTTTAAATACATACAAAGTGCACTATTATATGATAATTTTTTAAGTTATGCATTGGCATCTTTTTTAAAAAAATGAACTGCACTTTTATCATGTCCATTCTAAATACATACAAATGTGCACCACTATATCACATTTTCTCCATTTTTACTTTGACTTTTTATTGTAGAATGATATGCACTTTCGTTGATTGTGTTATACAAATTTTCATTTACATTTTGGTATAAAATATAATGCACTACGATATGCAAAATGTTGCACTACTAACGATTTTAAATGCAGCATGTGGGATTAAATGAAACACAATTTTAATTTTATCACGTGTATTTGAATTACATACAAAAGTGCACTATTTCACCACACTTTCTACAATTTTACAACGACACTTTACAAAATTCAATGCACATTTTCTTCCAATGGATTATGATAGTTCCATTGACACATCATTGTATATGGAAAATAGTAAAATAATAATAATAAACTAAGAAAAGTGCAGACCATTTTTTCGAAAAGAATAGTGAAATAGCAGACTAGAGTATGATCAAGTGCGTCATTAATTAAAAAATAGGATTAATTATAAAGATTAAATGAATTCAGCGTGTGATGAATTCAAATACACTTTAACTAGCTAGTTGCAAAGACACTCCATTGTTCTCGGTGGCTAGAACTTGGCCGGAGTTGAGAAGTCCTTTGTTTTCTAACGAGTGCTTGAAGTATAAGTTGTCAAACTTAGTTTCTAGTTGGGTTGACATAGCCCAAGAAGAAGAGGTTAATTATCGTTTCCGCCAGAGATGGGGCACTTTGAGCGTAGCTGAGCGGCATAACATGGGTCCACGGTGGAGTTTGGCGGCCTGTTTTCCGGATTGGTTGTAAAGCCTTTCTTGAAGCTTGTGCATCTTGAAGCTTCATCTGTTTGACTCCCTATGAAGGGATAGAGCTACTGAGAAGGATGAATGAGCATGTCAAGAACCTTAAAAAATCATATGAATAGTTATACAATGATTATACTTGGTATATTGTAAGGAGATAATTATGGACACAGTTATAACTTCTATGGAAGAGAAAGATACGGAGTATTGAGTATCTGATAGTTATGGAAACAATCGAATGGCTTTAATGTGATATGAAAATATCATATTTACCCTTAATGAGAAAGTGTCGAAATAATAATATATCAAGATCTAACGGATGACATTGATTCTTTTTTACTCTGCTAAGATTAAATTCTCACATGAACCTAAATCTATATATATATATATATAATGAAGTTTTCGTATATTGAAAGCTAGAGTACGGTAAATGTATGATAAGTAATACAGAGTATTACGAAGTATGATATACTCAATCACCCCTAGATAATATTTGTTGCTTCCGTCTTTTTAGGATCCGCCACCAACCGATTAATCTTGGTCATGCAAGAGAACTAGAGGCAAATAATTAGGTTAATTAATTAATTAAATTAGGGGTAGAAATAGAATAAGTTTTATTTTATTAAAACCAAGCATATGATCCTATTTTTGGAAGAGAATGATGTTTTGATCTAAGTTTGATCAATTTTATTTAAATGAAAAAGAAAAGTTGATAAAATCGAATGAGAGTGTAAGGATGTTGTTTTGGATTGAAATTGTTGGTCTGATCTGTTATGATAAATGTCTGGTCTATGTGTATTTTATAATTTTTCAAGTCTTGTCTGGTCTGATCTAATCTGTTCTGTTTACCCCTGAGGTTATGTCATACTTATTAATGCAACCTTACATTTTCAAAAATCAATTAGTTACCCCCTCAATTTTGATCATTCTCACTATATGCCACCTCGTGTTAATATTTGTTAAATTAAATTTAATATAACTCTTAAATTCAATGAAAGTTGTCTACAACATTAAATTTTAAAGTAAAACACAATGTATTATCATAATTATAAATCATTATTCTTGATCGTTATTTTTTAACTTAGTTACTTAATCGTGGAATAAATATTAATGAAAGTAGTTAAGGCAGAAGACTCGCGAGCTCAATAATATTCATGGGATACATAAAAAAGTTGTTTGAAATATGTGTTATCAAAATTCTAGACGCCTCTTCATCATGAATAAAAAATCTTATTTGTAATTCATCCGGCTGAATTAATCTCAATGACATTTCTTTCGTTTGTAGCAAAGAAGAAATACCAAGAAAATATGAATTTTAGCAATCCATGAACTAAAAGATTGATCTAATATTTATAACAGGCCTAAAAGATAGAATTATCGAGTAGCGAAATAGAAAAACAATTATCAACAACAATGACTTATAATTATGATAATAAATTGTGTTTTACTTTAAAATTTAATTTTATAGACAACTTTCATTGAATTTAAGAGTTATATTAAATTTGATTTAACCAATATTAACGTGAAGGGCAAACAATGAGAATGATAAAAACTCGGGGGGTAATCAATTGATTTTTGAAAATGCAAGGTTACATTAATAATTATGGCATAACCTTAGGGGCTAATAGTGATTCTCCCTATCAACAAAATTGTCCTCTTTCGTAAGTGTCACACGCGGCGGCATGTCCCTTCCCACAGACATAACGAAATACTGAGTAAAAAATACTCCCTTCGTCCTGAAAAGTTTGCCAAATTTTCTTTTTTAAATGTCCCAGAAGACTTGTCATTTCCATTTAAAGTAAGGAATATGTGGTTAAAGTTAATTCTCTCTCCTCTGCACAAATTTCAACCACACAATTTTTATTTTATTAATCCATATGAAAGTCAAATTGTCTAACCTTTTCGGGGGAGTAGGAATCGGAACCTCGTATCAGCATTTACTTCCATCGTTTGTGTAGTTAGTTCTGGCCGGCCGGACCAGATTTGTATTGCAGGATTCGCAGCCCCAACTGGGCCCCCACTTCCCTCATTTATCACTTTCCTAAACTTAGATTTTCCGCAGTTATTATTATGCTCCGCAATAAATAATAAAAGTCAGAAAGAAAGAAGTGCAGAATTGAGAGATGGCTCTCCCGCAATGCCCATTATTCCCATCATCATTTCTCAGCCGCACCTCTATCTTTCCCCACCAGTTGAACTTCAGGTATAAGCACATTCCAGTTTTACCCTCCAATGCCCGGATTACCAGGACCTGCTCTGCTGCTTTCTCTGCCTCGCCCAATTCATCCATAACCTCTTTTTCTCAGGTAGTACTAATACTAATACTAATATATACTACCTCCGTCCCTGAAAGACTCCGTCCAAAGAATGTTAAGGAAATGAATTTGATTTGAGTATATTGATACTGTTTTGACACTGTTTGACATTGTTTGGCATAGATGTTTAAATTTAAGGAGGTTGGACTTTTATTTTGGGAAACTGGGACATTCTTTCCCAATTATAGTACTGATTTTCTTAAATTAAATCCCAATTTTAATCTTTTAGGCTTGCTGGGTATCGTTAACCCCTGTTTAAGAAAAGGGAGGAAACAAAAACAGTTTGAGGAATAGACTACTACTATGGTTGCTTGGTCTGGCCTTCATTACAAAATCTGTTTAATGTTTTAAAAAGATATAGATTTACTTTCTTGGATTGCCCCCCCCTGATGTGGTTTAGTTTGTAGAGTAATTCTTGATTTACCTTTCTTTGGTTTTGGATTTTGTGTGTAAGTTGATTGAAGCTTTAATAAGTGGGAAAGACTTGACTGAATCTGAAGCTGAAGAATCTCTTGAGTTTCTGTTGGATGGTGCAGACGAAGCTCTGATTAGTGCATTTCTTGTTCTCTTGAGGGCTAAAGGAGAAACCTATGAAGAAGTAAGTGCATTTTTCTCATTTCCTTGATCACTTCCTAGTGTCTACCTTAGGATTTTAAATTTGTTTCAAAATAGCTACTCTAGATAGAATATCAAAAGAGCATTAGTTGTTTATTTTCCAGACTTTCCCTTCTTCTTCCAGTAACAAATAAGGTAATTCTAGACAATATGATAATACTTTTTGTCTTATCTATTTTATCTAATCTTGCCTTTTCGACTTTTTTATCTTTTTAGTCGACCCTGAACTCTTTTGGGACCAAGGCTTGGACGTTGTTGTTGTTGTTGTGTTGTTTTAACATAGGCGTCCATATGCAACGATTTACATTATGAGGATATGGTAGTCATATTATAACTGTTGTGCTGGAAGACTAATGCTTTGGTAGTGAACGAATGAGGTTAGGTGGTGGGAATGGCAAGGGCTATGATAAAACAGTGTAGAAGAGTTGAAGGATTAGAAGGCGCAGTTGTTGACATTGTTGGCACTGGAGGTGATGGCGCAAACACTGTAAACATCTCAACTGGCGCTTCCATTCTTGCTGCTGCTTGTGGTGCCAAAGTTGCTAAGGTCTGACCAATCCCCCTTCCTCCTTTTAATAGAACATTTAGCGATGTTCTTTCTTTATTTCCCTGGTTAACAGTGGTTTGGAACTGGGTAAAGTTAGATATATGTTCAAACTCATTTTTATTTATGTATATCCATTATAAAAGATGGATGAAATTTTTCGGAGCGTTCTGACATATTTTATTTCCCTCATATTTTGTTCAAGGGAAAACCAAATATTAAAATTTTATTCTCCTTAGTATCCCCTTCCCTTCCATTTCCTGCCTTCTAAACATAGCCCCTAAGGGTTAATTGATGGGAGTCAAAGCTACTTTGATTTCCTTGCAGCAAGGGAATAGGTCAAGCTCATCTGCTTGTGGAAGTGCTGATGTACTGGAAGCTCTAGGGGTTGCTATTGACCTAGACCCCGAGGTTCGTATTATTCAGCTCACATATATACACGCATACATGCATGCATGCATACATACATACATACATATATAAGGGAAAATTCAAATGAAAAGACGTCTTCCCTTGAAAAATAATGGATGGATTAGATCATTTTATATTTAAAGAATGAGTGCAGTTATTTATAATCATAAATAAGTGCAATTCAAATGTAAAACATATGATGACCAAAGCGAATCACGTCTCTTTTTACCTGAACCCTCCCCTATATATATATATATATATATATATATATATATAACTAGCACTATATTCCTATATCCATACTTCTTGATGCATCAGTCAAAATAGTTACTATGGAAGTATGGAGGTCTGCTTATTACTACTTATTATACAATAGGAAAGGAGTCTGCTATAGTCACTCTAGTACTATAAATTCGTTGTATTTATGTGTATAACCATACAAATCTTCTTGATTTGATATTTTTCTTTAGTGTATAGCACTAGGACAGATTCTTTTCAGATTCTTTCCTTGAGCTCCACACTCACAACAGCCTATACATGTAACTCTTGATTGCGAATAGAAAGCATTCACAAATTTGTTATTCAAGTTTGTCATTTATCCATATATCTTACATGTGATCTTCAGTCTTCACGACTTCTCCACATAGTTTTTGTTATTCTCATCTCAATTTTCATTTATTTATTATTTATTATAAACTAAACTAAGAGCTGGATAAGTGTTGGTTGATGTAAGTTATTTATTAGTTTTGCCTTGTATGTAGATATTTAATGCCTTGTGTTGTGCCCACAATGCTCAGGGTTCAGATCCGTCTCCATGGGGAAAAAGGCCAAAGGAAACATGACTAAGATATCCCCTTCCCTGTACCTATTCCTGTTATCCCATTTTACTTTTCATTGTAACTATTCATGATTCAAATTACATCTTCTTTCTTGACTTCACTTCTTTTATAATTAAGTTGTCATGCTACCTGTTTTGTACAACTTTTGTTGTCGTTATAAATGTGAAAGTCTTATTTTCTTATATTAAATTGTAAAGATTGTAAAATGAGACGGATGGAGCATTTTATTTGGCATATTACAATGCAAAGATCGGATCTTTATAAAAAAGTTCATGACAAAAGTATAAAATTCATTCCCCATGATAATTATATTTGGTTGGATATGGTGGGCGACTAGTTTTCTAATCATGACTACAAATAAAATCAGGGGGTAAAAAAGTGTGTAAATGAAGCAGGAATTGGATTTATGATGTCCCCCATCTACCACCCAGCAATGAAGATTGTTAGTCCTGTCAGGAAAAAACTTAAAGTGAAGACAATATTTAATATCCTGGGCCCAATGTTAAATCCAGCCAGAGTTCCTTTTGCTGTTATTGGAGTCAGCAAAGAAAACCTTGTAAGTTCCCTACTACGCCCTCTCTCCTTTCCTCTTTTTATATATATACTCTCAGAATAAATGTCATCTTACAAGAAATCTTGTAGATTAAACAATACTATACTACCCCTTACTAACATCTAATTACTATTGGTGATTAAATTTGCATAGAGGTCTTTAAAAGGGGGAAATGATGGCAAAATAGTGCCAAGTATTGTCTTGGTTTTATAAAACGACCCAATCTGTAAACCTAAAAAGTCCTCCAAGTGACACTTGTTTGTGAATCCATGGGAGTTTTCCCCCCTTCTAGCATCCATAATTGATATATATTCCACTGTGTAAGTCACAAGTTCTATAATGTCTTATTCAATTCACATAAATTGACGGGGTGGATAATTGTGATATTCAAAAGTAAAGACCCTGGGGCGGAGCTAGGCCCGCCGCTCTTCCTTTCGTATATGTATGGGTGCACAAATACTTGTTACTATCAACAAATGTTGAAAATTGAAGTTTTGGCACTCCATGCAAAGATTTGCCCCCATACTCACAAAAAAATAAACTGAGTGAAAAAACTTCTATGCAAAGAAGAAATGTAAGCTTAGGATGGATCACCTTTTTTCTAAAAGAATAAATTCTCGCATTTTAGGTCTACAAAATGGCTAAAGCAGTTCAACGGTTTGGCATGAAAAGAGCATTGGTAGTTCACTCAGAAGGCCTAGATGAGATGAGTCCTCTTGGTACAATTCTATTCATGATTGTTATTTCAAGCATAAAATACACATTAGTTTATAGGATCACTCTTTGGGTGAGTTGTAGATGTGCAAGTAAAACTCTTGTTTTGTCAACTTTTATTTTTTATTTTTATGAAAGTGCTATATGGAAACAGGAAGGGGCTCAATCCTTGATGTTACTCCAACCAAGATTGAGAAATTCCCATTTGACCCATGTAAGTATCTTCCCACCATTTACTCTGAAGTCACATTTTCTTGCAAGGTGTCATATATATTACTCTTACTAAAACAATGTTATGTTTCTGATACAACAACGTTATGGACCAGTTTGGTAAGGATCGTTTGGCTGAAATGGCTTGGGGATGGCTAATCTGTTTTGGAGTAGAAAGTGTTTGATTGCATTTATCGCAGCCAAATAATGAACTCAAAAAAGTTACTTATTCTGCGAATAGGCAGAATGAGGCTCCATTTAGGAGCCATTTATGGCTTTTCCCACAGGACAGACAGAATTAGAATAATAACTAGTTATTGACTACTAAACAGACTCTTGTTTGGATGGAATGGATGGAAAGCTTTTACTTTTCCAATTTTCACCAAATTGAGCCATTTTAGCCAAATTATCCCTACCAAACGTAGCCCTAAGCCGAAAATGGCTACCAAACAGAACCCACAGTCAAGACTCGTCTGTTATCATATTCATTAATACGATGACCAGAAACTAATGTAACCATTGGATACTGGATAGTGGATTTTGGCATTCCACGCTGCACTTTGGAGAGCTTGAAAGGTGGATACCCCGACTACAATGCTATGACACTTAAGCGAGTTCTACGCGGCGAAAGCGGACCAATTGGTGACGCATTGGTGAATCTCTTCATCTGTTATGTTATGTTCATTGTTATACAATTAAGAACAATGTTAGCTGATCGAGTTGGTGCTAAATATCATTTCTCCAACCTTTCATGTCCTAGGGGACCAATGTAATCCTAAAGGTCCATTTGGATCACACAAATTGCAGGGGAAGAAAATAGAGAGAAGTTTTTGGAATGACTGAGAATTTTGGGGAAAATAAAAATTAAAAAGATAGGCTCAAAATCCTAAAATTTATTTTAGATATTTCATATTTGCTCAAGCTTGTTCATTTATTTATTGACTAATTTATTTCTACTATGTAAAGAATTCTAAGAAGTATAAACCTATGAAATGTTATTTGTCTAAATAGTTAGCTATTTTGTTTTACTTTTCATTTTTCAAGATAAAACCAAACATAAGAAAACAAAATCCTTTCCCTAACAGTTTCTGAGATCCAAACACACCCTAAAAGTATCCAATTTATGGTATGCGAAAACTTCTACAAATAATTTAAAAAATGTTTCTTTCAGGTGTTAAATGCAGCTGGAGCTCTCTTTGTCAGTGGACTTGTAGAAAGTTTGGGTGAAGGAGTGGATCTTGCTCGGACAACATTACTCTCAGGGAGAGCTTTGGATTCTCTTCATCTTTGGATCCAAGTTTCAAATGTAATGACCCCTTTGTCCATCCCTACTATAATAATTGCTTTACATATTACAAGACTTTCTTTTTCTAAAGCTTATATGGGAAATTACCCTAAATAGGTCTAAAAGCGTTTGTATATTCTAAAATATGATTGTCATGTTTTTATTCCTAAAATAGAAGTAATTATAGTCATGTTTTGGCAATATCAGACTTTAAACATGACAGTATTTTTCAAGCTCGACAGTAACTGCTCCTACTTTGGGAATAAAAACATAGTAGCCTTATTTTGGAAATGTCAAACATTTTTAGAGTTTTCCGTACATATTCACTCTCTTTTCCTATTTTCCCCATTCAGAAAGTCAAAGAGTCGTCACATCTCAGGACTCTAAGCATTGGCCCCCACTAAAGTGGGCCCGGCTAACTCTTAACGAATTTTACAACGATGGTCACTCCAAAATTCAAATGCTTGGCCAGCTGAGGAGAGCACCTATCCTGCTTCTTTTCCTTGGGAATACCATACCATCATAATAAAAATTAACATTAGCCTTATATGTTTTTTTGGTACAGCAGGAAATAATATTAGCCTTTATTGTCACTGTACAATTTATAGAGAAATGGTTTTGAAGGGTTATTATCAGTTTATTACTGTGCATTTATTTCTAGTGCTACACCTCTACTGGTCATATTGTACTAGTAATAGTAATAAGAAAAATATATGGAGCACCCTACTCTCACCAGGGCCGGCCCAAGCCAGAGGCAACCAACCCACTTGCATAGGACCCATAGTTTTTGAGGGACCAAAAAGAATATTTAATACCTAGTACTAGTATTACATACTCCGTAATTGTCAAGCCCGAGTCCAAGGAAATAGAAAGAGAAGGAAAGAACGGAAGAGGATGAAGCGGGAAACATAGCAACAATGTCAAGAAGTTAACCGATTGGAGAGGGATTTGATAGACTACCATGGTTGATAATGCCTCTTTCGTCTTGCGTCGCTAGCCCGCTGCCGCGCCCTGCCTCCAGACTCCGAGACTAAGAGGCGACTAGTCCAGCATGAACCAGCCATTCCAGAGGGTCTCCCTTTGCGTTGGCGGGTAAAATCAGGATGCTTCGAGGTGGATGGACAAACCTCTTCTCCCTTCCCGGTGGCTGTTAAAACCTAGAATTTGATTTATGTTGTTGCTTTTATTTTAATTTCAATTATAGTAGCAAGTTTAATGTTGTTGTTAATGGAGTCTACTACATTGTGGGGTTAGCAAGTTGGGCCGCTCTTATGCATGATTAAAACTCTGAGTCTCATCTTAGTGTAGCCTTTGAATCTTTGATATGATGATTTTGTATATAGAATTATAGATCTTGTTTTTAACAGTGATGTTAATAGCGGCGCTATAGCGCGCTATAGCGGTTTAGCGGAGCGGCAGACATGGAAGGCGCTACCAGGAGGGCTGTAGCGTGGCGTTTGGGTGTAGCGGCTATAGCGCCCGCTATAGCGTTGGTGTGGAGAAGGTTTTTGCGGCCGCTATAGCGACGAGATTTGTGGTAAAAGGGTTGCGAGGGTTTTTGGCGTTAAAATTTTTTAGCGCAGAGGTATAGAAGGGGTAAACTAGACTTTTAAAACAAAATATTAACTACTTAAAACCCTTACACGTACGTAAAAACTCACGACTCCAGTTTTTGGCATTTTTTTTAATGCTCTGCGATGCTTTCTTCTCCAAGAAAGCCCTGTTTCTGCTCTGCGATGGGTTCTTCTCCAACAACTACACGTGCTGTCCTCCTCTTCCTTCATTCTTCTCAGTAGTTTTTTCTGCTGCATCTTCTTCTCCAACTTTTGCTGCAGACCTGCAGTGAGTCTTCTTTTCTTCTTATTATCTCGTATGGAGTCTACTGCCATGTTTAAGCCCACGTGAAAACACCTTGACCCAGCTTGGAAGTGGAACAGTTTGACTGTTAATATATCAAGGCTTAAACTCTTAAACTAAAACCTTATTTTTGATTCAATGTTTTGACTTAAGATGTTTTAATCATTAATAACATCTTTTGTTTTGCTCATGAAACTAAAGAGTATTTCCAAGTAATTTAGGATTTATGAATGCTAAGATGTTTGCAACTTCATTGACATATATCATACTTTTTGAACTCAATATGTGCATGTAATGTATTATATATGCTTCTAGCAGTTACTTATTTATTATATTTGAAGTAGCCTAAATAGCGGTCATCCCGCTATCCGCTATACCGCTATAGCGTTTTGGGGGCTAACCGCTCCGCTCCGCTATCTGGGATTGACAACACTGGTTTTTAATATGAATTAAGCTATCTTTTTCAAAAAAGAAGTAAAAACTAAAGGCCGATGAGAGTAGCAATGAGATAGTCGCCTACAACCCTCAACCATAATTAGGAGTTCATCGATCATCTTCTTCCGGATTGGGGAATTCTTTTCATCATATGAATTGTAGTGTGTTGTAGATTGTGATTGCAATTCTCCTAGAGTAGGGATATGATCCAACTTGATTGTTCTTCTTTTGTTATTGTGTTTATCCTGTTTTATGGTGTTCTTTCTCGGGCTCTGGCATTGTGGTGTGTTTTGTCTCCCATGTGAGTAGTTTCTGTAGTGTCCCGATCAGCTTCGCCTGGTTACGAGTTTTTGTTTGCTTTCTTTTGGGCTACGTAGAGAAGGGTAGAGTCGTAGAGGCTTAAAGATTATTTTTGACTCCATTGGTTTCTATGTCTATTCGGAACGAAGAAAGAAAAAGAACTTAGTATTCATCCATATGGCAGCAGTTCGGCCTCCTTCGGAACCACCTCCATATCTGGAAGAGTTTTGTGGAAAGATTTTGTTCCATTGTTATTTTTTTTAGTAGTACTTGTTTTTGTTTTTATTCAAGTAAGTTTGGTTAAGTTATTTGGATATTTGGAATATTTATGATACACAGGCAGACAATGTTTTGGTTTTGGTTGTTTTAGGCTTAAATTTGTCCATTTCGTGTCAAGCGAGTCAGGTTTCTTTGTATGAGATGACTGACTATGTCTATTTCTAAGACTTACAATCAGATCTGTAATAACTGTCTGAAAGTTGTGTTGTATGCTTTTTCGATATCATTATAAAAGCCGCTCTTTTATATTAAAAAAAGGCACGTTCAACAAATCCAATCATCAGCCAAAATTATAATAATCTCAGCAAATTAAATCACTTCAAGCATATTACATGTTAAATCTTACCAAACAGGCTTTGGAACTAGGCATGGACCGGTTCCGGGCCGGGCTCCGGGCCGGGCCAAACCCCGGGCCTTTTATTTCTGGGGGAAGGTCCGAAAGACCGAAACCGGCCTTGGCCGGCTCAAATTTTTTTGTTGCTTTTCTAATTAACCCCTGACCCCCCCACCCCCTCACCCCCCAAAACACCCAACCCAACCCGGGAAAAAAAATGGGGAAAAAAAAGCCCGGACCGGGCCCAGCCGGGCCGGTTCATCTTTTAGCTGACCCGGAGCCCGCTGTACCATAACCCCGGTTTGGGCCACCCAAACCGGTCCAAGACCCGGATACCGGACTGGGCCGGCACAGTCACGGGCCGGTTTACCTGGAACCGGTCCATCCCTATCGGGAACCCATGAGCTTCAAATAACTTGTTTAAAGTGCCACTAATTCTATATAAGCAGTAAAACCCTCTTTATCAAATCCAAAGTCGTATGTAATGTTTTCGTGTTAGTAATATCGTGGTACAAGAATATTCTTACCTACCACAGACTACAAAGCAATTGCAGATATACATTTACGAGTGCCTCTCATATTTGCAAATTGCAATGGCTAAACAATGCTTCCTAATCCTCAATCTCAATTTCAGTCACAAATTTATCTATACAAACCAACCATTATGAAGCATCGAAATAGACTAAAGTATACAGTACAAATGACCGAGCTAAGGTATTTGCAGTGTGAAGATCATGGTCCAAGTCAGTAGTGGCAGCACATTGATTATTCCTACTACAGCAGCCTCGGCTAATCAGATTGCTCCTCAATCCATTTCGGAACTTTCATGCCAAATCCACATCGTACTCGTTCAACGCTGTACATTAACAACTACTTAACACTTTAGTAGTTAACACAGTAGACTCTATTGGGAAAGAACATAGAAGACAAATTGCAATGGCTATTGGCTAGTATTATCAGATGGCCATTGATTCTAATTTCAAGTGAAGCATTAGGCAAAAACGGAAAATGGCTGGAACTCAAAAAAAAAGGGAGGAAAACATTAGAGAAATTTGGAAGAAAAGAAGGTGAATGGGAAAAACTGGTTTGAATTAGTTCAAACTTTTTTTCTTCTCGGAGTATATTAGTGTTATACTCCGTATTAGAGATGCCAGAGCTTGAATTTATTTTACTAGGGAATCAAAGCTTCATAGTTTGACATATCTTTATATAGATTATGAATGCTGCACACACACACACATAAACTAGAAAAGAAAATGTGGGCCCCCGTGGTCCTCTCAATCTCTGGGACTCTATACTATATATAAACATATCTATGAGTGTCAAAGTTTTAAAATTTTTATCAAATTGGATCCTCTGATGTTTTTTAAGGTAAACCCGAACATTATACATATAAAAAAGTACGGAGTACTTAGTACTTTATGTCCTTTCTCTACCATTTCCGAGTTCCAAACACAGCCTTGATGTAATTAGCAGAGATGGGAAAACTTACGTGGGCGCAAGTTTGCCAAGACTATCTAGTTCTTGACCAGTTTGTTCATCCACAACTTTTCCAGATATCTCAATGAGATATGACTTGTTTTCTGTGATGGGAAGGCCTCGGCTAACAAGAATATTTAGATCTGTTTCATGAAGTTCTCGCCCATTCACAAAGACTCCAGTATTTCCAGCAGCACAATGTTTTGGCATGGGATAATTGAACTCCTCAATATTTGGCTACAAAAGATTTATGTGATTCATCAGTATCAAATGAGACATATGGTCTGATTTGAAGTGTTAGAGAACTAACTGATTAATCTCACCGGAATGATTCCAAGGCAAGGATGGCCTATTACTCCCCAAAAGCCGGCTCTCACATCATACCTGGTTTAGACATTACAAGAACTCTCTAGTGAGTAACTGAGAGTAATTACACCAAATAATGTGACAGGCTTTGGTTTACCCACTCCCATCCAAGATCAAAAGGCTTTTTGATCAATGTACAACTTTTGAATTTCGGCAAGCTACAAACGTCATGATAATGAAGGGGAAATTGGAATTGCAGCCCACAGCTTCAATCAAATTTGAGTTTGCGCCACATTTCAAAATTATTAAATCGAAACCCAAAGCAAGAAAATCTGTTAATAGTGGGGTGCGAACTCCAATTATGAAGAAAATGTTGGGTGTGAATTCTCAAATTTTGGGGCAAGTATTAATGATTCCAAAGATGGGGTGCAAACTCAGATTTGAATGATAAATGGGTTTCAAATACCAATTTTCCCAAAATATGTATCTTTACCTAAGAAGCATGCAAACCCTCGGAAAGAGTACTGCGAAAACCCTTAAGAAAATCTCCAAACAGTCGTTTTTCTATTCAAAGATGACATTTTTCGTTTAACATTTGTCCATATATCCAAGGTTTCTGAGCAACATAGATCCTCCCATACAACTAAATTTTATACGTTAGTTACCTAAGTTTAACAAGTAACTTGTCCATGACTCTTTTTTGCACCTTCTTTTTGAAAATTACATGAAAAATAACTTTGCTTGATCAGGCTAGACACTACATTTGAGAAAGCATTTGAAATAGGATTATTTTGGACAGATGGAATAATGATGCTAAGGCAAAAAAGTTCTTTATTTCCTTCGCTGGTGGACTTACCAGTACTTGCCTAGCTGAATAGGTCCAGCTAATTTTTCTGCCCTTTTAACTTCCGGAGCTGGAATGAGTTGTCCATTAACAAACACATTTGATCTTCTGTCTTCTAAAATCTGACTAGACATTCCGGAACTGGATAATTCAACAATACTTCCTTTTATGTCTTCTTGAAAGGATTCACTGCCATTTTGATCATTTAATTGATCATAGTCCTTACTCACTTCAAAGGATTCAACAGACACTCTACTGTTTTCAGATTCATTCATTGATATATCCATTTCAGGTTCATCTTTCACAGAGCTCTGTTTCTCTTTTTGCTCATGGGACCATTTAGTGACATTATCATATCTGCTGGCCGCATCATCTGAATCATTTGTGTTGGGAAACTCCACAGGGAGAGAATAGTCTTTTCCCATTTTCCTGGGAGATGATGAAATGATTCCCTTACCACCAAGTTCATATACAATGATGGAAGAACAAGATTCACACCTCATTTTGT